TGTCATTTCATTCTACAATAGTAATCATTATGTTTTTCACTCATTACATATATATTGTGTTGTAGCTACATGTACTCCCAAACAATTTGAACAATTCATTCAGGCAGCAAGTGTTTCCACCAATAAAATAAAAAGGTATGCTCCATATAAGTTCTAAACCATACATATTCCTAGCAAGATTATTGAAATGTTTTTATAATAAAAACAGTAGAGTCATGTATATGCTTTCCATGTTACTCAATGCATTGTTTTGAGTATCACTTTTTTAAAACACCAATGAACCTTCCATAATGGTATTTCATTTTGTTTTCAGAATTGCTTTCATCCAGAAGAACTGTTTGAACTGTGGACTGTTTGAAATATTTTGAACCTGCTCAGAAATCCCTTCACAGCTTGTCTTTGAATTTGAAAGGCTGTTTTTAATTAAATAAATTTTCTAGATAACTAATACTTTGAATTTTTAACAGTACAATGGTGTTAAAGTTTGAAGGCTGTTAAGATTTGAGTATCTTTACTTGCATGTATTCTGACAGGCGCGTAGCTGCTTATAGGCAAATACGCAGGTGCGTACACATCGTTTACAAATTTAAAAAAATGGGGGGTGGGGGGGGGGGAGAGATTTGTGGGAAGAGAAAAAATATCAATACCATCCAGCAAATATTTGTGTGTCAAATTATTTTATCTCATACTGTTTCGATTCAAATTCAAATTCTATATTACCATGTCTTTATAAAAAAAAAAAAAAAAAAAAAAAAAAAAAAAATATGGTATTGTTTTATTAAATCATTGCCAAAACCAAATAAAACATTCATTAATTTGTAATTCTTCTACAACACATTGATAATTTATTTTAAGATCTTTGAGAAAATATCAACGGTTGAATGCTGTGATCCACTAGAATATGATTTGAAATATTTTTTGTTTGTTAAAAATTGAAATTATTAATTATATTTGTTGCCAAAAGATGATTCCAATATATCTTTTAAAAAAATATTCAGCCTCTACATGTACAATAAATTTGCACGGAAGTATTTAACTTTTTTTAAAAACAATATTACTATGCCTTGTATTTTCTAAAGAAAATCGAAATGGCATGATTTTGAATGAAATATTTGGTAAAAACCATGAGCTTCCAGGGACTTCGCCCCTGGGCCCTCATCTGGACCCACTGGGGGTCTCAAAGCAGACCCCAGCCGTTCTCTGCGTACATTTCACTTCCATTCTGGTATGCGCCTGTCTGTGCTTTGGGGTACAAGAAGATCTAAATTGCAGCATGTATATTGTGTTCACCTGTTCTTTAACAGAGTATCTGTTTCTGTATTACAAAGATTTTACTATGATTATCTTGTTTGCGCATTGATTGATAATTACTCAAAAATATGAGACTAAAGCCCCTCCCCCCCCCCCCCCCCCCTACGCCGATATGATTTGTGCTACAATACCCAAATAAGTAAAACCTGATGTAAACACTGTTTAATAATTTATTTTTAACATGCCAGTAAGTATATGGTATCAAAGGAGCCAGAGGCAAACTGGTGAGGGGGGAGGGGGTTAGATCTGTAGAAAGGAAAACAGGTTATTAAATACAGGAGTAAGCACCCCAATCCCTTCCTTCTGTTCTTAAAACTTTTAACGTAGTCTAGAATCCATAAACTGTTGAAGGTTTGATAACTAAAATAATCACATATGAAAAAAAAAAAACTACCAAGTTCTGTTGGAGATATTTTTTCTGTGTGACTACTGAGGAAGAATAAATGTTTAATCATTGATAGGGGCTGTCTATGTTTTATTTTTATTACAAATGACTGAATCTTTCAATATTTTTAACCATGGGCATTTTTCAATTTATTTACATGATGGATGTTGCGGCAAATTTTAGGCGAACGGAGGAAATGCGGTAGGTGTCAAATACGTCTTGTGTAGCGTATAAAAGAACGAAGATATACAAAACAAAGTAATGTCAAAGATTTTTTATGCATACCGATTTGATTTAGTGAAATAAAGCCCAGCGCAGTCCGTAGGTATTTATTTAAAATTTGCGAGGTACACAAACTCTACTAAGTACCACAGAGTTATCTCCCATGCTGGGTCAATGATGCGTTTGAAAACTATATTTAGAATGAATGTGTTAAGATTTCAATTTTTAATCAAATAGTGCAAGGGCAAGGCGACAACCCAAGAGGTAGGTTTATATTTTAAATTCTTTATTTTACTGTATAGTTTTTAAAAAGTGATGCTCATTTCTTTGTAATTCATTAGGCAATTTAAAATTTCCGATTAAATGATGAAAAATACCCTATTTTTGAATACTGGTGTTTGTTTTCAATGACTAACTTAAATATCTCAGAAATCTGACTGAATGAGCATCAGTTTTTCGATAGGATAGTTACCAAGGGACACAATGAAACCTTGTGCAGTTCAAATATTGTTTGCCTTGCCCTTGCACTTTTTGGTTAAATTTGACATTTCATATTTTGACCTAAAATCGGAGCTCACGTGACTTTAGAGGGTCACATGATGACAAAAAATACCGATGTGAAAAGCGATGGACAAACTCTTCATAAAGCCATTAAGATATTTCAGATAGAGTTTCATGCTAAAAAATAAGACGGTTGAACTTTAAGTGTCTCGTTTTTGGTGCCTTTTTATAGAAAATGTTGCCTTAACTGTACTGCGATCACAGTAACTTTTTCCACTATGTGCTTCACTGTAGTCGAAACGCTTCACAGTAATTCCTGAAGAAGGATAATTTATGATAATGTGAAGAATCACAATGTTCTAGACAAAGAAAACCCATTTATTAAAGAGAAAACAAATTCCAAAGCATCAACAATTTCAGATGCTTACAAGGTATGCATTGTGCATAAATGACAAAGATTACCTGTTCTAGATCTTTCTGACAATGATGGTATGGCGAGCCATATCTGCCCACAATGGTAGCACCACGCGTTGTCTGATCTAAGGTAAGCTTCTGTAATGTGTGGCAACTGTTGTTTAATAGTTACTAGTGTATGTTCTAGTAATGAAAGAACAGCAAAGAAGTCCTGTTTTACATAACCCATTATGTGAGTAAAAGTCTTGTGCTACAAAGGAGTAAAATTGCTTGAGGCATATGTTCACACACTGTAAAGCAACTTCATTTTATTTCTAATTTTAAATACCAAAACTTTATCATACACATGGAGTATGCATAATACAATAGACAAACAAACTGACAAACAATTGAGAGATCTATACCCAATAATATTTTTTTATGTCTCTACAGTCAAATGTTCTTATCTTGAACTCCTTGGGACCTACCCCTGGGGGTCATCATTTGAACAAAATTGAATCTATACTACCTGAGGATGCTTCCATATAAATATGACCAATCATGGCTTTGTTGTTCTTGAGAAGAAGATTTTTAAAGATTTTTCCTGTATATTCCTATGTAAAAATTTGATCGTCCATTGTGGCCCCATCCTATCACCGGGGATCATGATTTGAACAAATTTAAATCTACATTACCTGAGGATGCTTCCAAATTAGTTTCATCTTTCCTGACCCAGTTGTCCTTGAGAAGATTTTTAAAACATGCCACCAAATTTGCACTATTTCTTAATTATCTCCCCTCGCAGCTCTGTTAAGGCTGCATAAAGGGGGCGGGTCCTAATTTATACGGGAAAAGTTTACTGTGACATCACACAAATATAGCAATTCCTCACAATAACAAAAAATGAAATAATTTGCGAATCTAAACTGCATAAGAGTTATGAACTACATCAACACTTACCACTGCATTCATTTTTGTCGCTAGTTAAATCCCACACAGCAAGATATAAACAAATCACTGATCGCAATGCACTTGTCGACATGACGTCATCATGGTAAAGTTTGACGAATTTTATGTGCAGTGAGGGGCGGATCAAGTAATTTTTTCACAGTGAAAAATGCATTTTATTATTAAACAGATATTATTTGAAAATCTTAGGTAGACCATTAATATTAATCTGAAACGTTTGTTTACTGCCATAATTTAAAAAATATCGAGAGAATGTATTGAATTAGTTCTACCGTGTTTTTGTTTACAGGGTGTGCATGTTTCTCCGAGGTGCCTCATTAAATCGCCTTTTCGCAAGGGCATACACGTAATAGATCTTGGCCATTTTTTGAATACACATAATGGACATATTCCTTAACTTGAAAAGTGCTGCTGCTTTCCTGAAATCGATAGCATAACTTAATAAATACATAAAATACTTGGTAAAGGTCACACATATTTCGACATTAGCAAGATAACTTGAAATTTAAACTTATAAAATGAGAATTCTATTTAAAGCAGCAGCACTTTCCATAAACTACAAGTTATGTAGAAACAATCTATTTCTTTAATTTTTAATTCTAACTAGGGTATGCCCTTGCGATATTGAAATTTGTTTGTGACCTACATACAGTACACATTACATGCATTTATCACGTGACTATCAAATAATGTGACCAAACCAAATTCAGTACAGATCGGGGTATACAATGTTATTTCAAAGAATGTTAAAGTCATAAGATAATACAGCACCTTTACAAAATTAAAATTTACTTTAAAAAGGTATGTATTTATGCACGTTTATATTCTGTTGATTTCTTCGCAGTCGCGCCTTAACAGTGCTGCGCTTGAAAGAGGGCATGGCCCTTGTTTTGAACAAACTTGAGTTCCCTTCACCCAAAGATGCTTTGTGGCGAGTTTTGTTGAAATTGGCCCAGTGGTTCTGGAAAAGAAGTTGAAAATGTGAAAAGTTTACAGACAGACAGAGGGACTACAGACAAATAGTGATCAGAAAAGCTAACTTGAGCTTTCAGCTCAGGTGAGCTAAAAAGTGTTCATGTAAATTTCTCACAATCTGTTGATATGCTTAGAAATCCATCTTTCATGTTTATTACAGGTTATTAATTATATAATACACAACAAACTTCAATGATTCAAAACCCTATTAATAACTCAACATGTGAATTTTATACATACACCATCAGTACATGCAGACTGCTGGTTTTGGATATATAGAGGTTGCAACATTTGCCTCTTCATTTCTGTGGTTATCTTCCATGGGAACTTCAACCTATTCATGATATAATTAATATTGATTGATTTCATTTACTTATTTATTGTATTTTATAACAACAAATAAAATCTGAACACTTTATCAAAAAAAAAAAAACAATAGAATTTATATCTAAAGTTTGGAATCTAAAACTTAAACTCAGCATAGATTACTCTGTGTACTTACTAATTATAAAAATTTCCACTGTACAGTTTATCAGTAAATAGACTTTAGATATGTAAAAACTGAATTAATGTAATTTTTACTTCACTCATGGAACTTAAGGCTTCACAAACATCTCATAAAAAGCATCTTTTACCCCAATGTTATGTTATGTTACTAACATGGGCTTCAATTACCAAGAATATTACTCATGATATAAGTAATTCTATAAAAAAAATCTTATTTTCAAGTAATTTTTACTGCTTCTATTTAGTTTTTTTTTTAAATATAATTTCAAGTAGTGTGGTTGCTATCACAACTATGCAACTATGGATGTAGCAACTTATTTCATACAACAAGGAGGAGGTTTGCTTAATCATTAATATGAATGAAAATACACAAGTAGGCACAGATAAATCATTCCTAGATGTGAAAGATCTCTTGAAAAATAAAACTACATTCATTACCTCTTCTATCATACCTGATGAAGGAAGATTCAAATAATCTCCGTGACATTTTCTGCATATTCCTAAAAATTAAAAAGAGAATTATTGGAATTTACAGATGTTTTTAAGTGCATGTATCTCTATATACTCAAGTTTTAAATAAATAATAAATAAATCTATGTCTATAAGTCATTTTTGTATAAAAGATTTATCATTGCTACTTTTTTTTAAATATGCAATCAACTTCAATGATTATTTTAATGTTTATATATACTGTTATATACATTTTAAACATGTAGCACATGGGACTACATGTATTAAGTTTGGTCTAAAATGCTTTCGACATGTAAATATTCTCATCATGAGCTGATCAAATCATTGACAACCAATTTGTCTACATTCATATCTACATATATATAGTCATTTACTTAAAAGAATGTATTTGTAACACTTGTAAACATTAATTCAATAAACTTTGTTGTGTATGTTTTAAACATGGAATTTGACAACCCTGATTTCTGATATATTAATCACATTTAATAAATACCTCAACAAACAATAAATAATTTTTCATTTAGCATCCTTAGGAAAAATCGATGACCACTGCATCATTGAATCAGAAACTAAAATATGGGAATTTATAATAAAAACACTGCGTGACACATAGCCCCCCCACCCCACCCCCCCCCCCCCCTTGTCTCATGGAAACAACCTTCATATGATATTAAACTGTTATAGCGTGTGCCATTTTTTAATTCAGATTAAATTCCAATTCAAATTCTCTTAGGGAATATAAATTAACTTACCAGAACCTATAGGCACAAAAGTACCAAACTCGGAAACCATCCGCTTAGACATAAGAGAGTTGAAACTCCGATATGGCTTGGCATTTCCCTGGTGGTCAGGATACTGACAAGATGTCTTGGGACGCCAGTGTACACCAAGAAAGTCTCTGTGATAGGGACATACCGTAAATGCTTCTTCAATAGTGAAGAGTCCCACGCGCTTGCATGTTAGGTCTGCTTCACTGAACACATCAGCCTCTCCTTTCACACCAGATCGAATCCCATTTTTCAACAGATGTGACACAATGCCTCTCTTGCAGTCTTTTAATCTTATCAAATTTATTTCTGATGGATGCAGAGGTGAAAAAGAACTTGAAGTATAAACACTGATGGAACATTTTCCAATGGAGGCTGCAATTACTGATGCCCTGCTGCATTATGGGAAATGGGAGATAACTCTAATAGTTAAAATGGGAGGAGGGGGCTTAACTTTGGAAGTTTTATATTTGTTAGCATGAAGAAAACACAGAAAATCAAGAATTTTATATAAAAGCATGTACCAAGGTGAAAATATTTTTATCATGGAAAACTATATCTAAGAACGTTTTTCTGTATTTCATTGATAAAAAAAGGAGGAATTTTAGTGATATTATATAGGAATTCAATCAAATCCATCAATGTACTTTGGATGTAAATAACACAAATATACAAAAGAAATTAACTTTTTTTTTAATCAAATATTTAAAGAGGTTTAATATGAATGACAACTGAGAAGAAATAAACAGATTCAAAAATTAATGTGTGTTATCCCTGCATGGGACCTGCCTGACTCTTATATGGAGCAGTACTTAACAATCATAACACAATAGTCTTTTGTTCTATGCTTGTTTACCTCTGCAATCAAAAAGTGCATTATTATTTAAAGAAATAAAAGACGGGGGGAACAATGTCCTTCAGTATAGAAAGCATTTAATTCAATAAATCAGAAAAATAAAGAAATCAAAAAAGCTCCATGCATAACATTTCTCAAATTGTTTGTTTGTTTTTTAACGTTCCTTCAAGAATTTTTTACTCATATTGAGACGTCGTCACTTGCCGGTAGAAGGCTGTGTACAGACCTGCACTCTGTGCTGAAGGCATTTCAGCAGTGATGGGTCTTTTTCTCCCAGCACCTACTGCGACACGGGATCCTGGTTTATACGGTCTCGTGCGAAGGACATATCTCTACGTCCCGCAGCGGTATTCAAACCAGCGACGTTAGGATCAACTCCTTACTTTGGTCGTTATAATGACCTTGTTAGCAAATATAACCTATCACTGGGTCGTATTTTGGCTGACTTGTTTCATATCAATTGTTATGCCTTTCTTTTATACTGAATTTGACAACGGAGAGTTCCGTCTACCTGATTAAGACATAAGGCTCATGGCGGGTGTGACCTGTCAACAAGGGATGCATACTCCTTCTAGGCACCTGTTCCTTATCTTCATCTTTTTCATTCGCGACTCTAGAGCAAAAACTCTAATCACTGCCCTACCTCGACGTCTTCTCAGATTTGTGTATTGCCTAAATTATTTCAAGAACAACCCACCGTAGTTTTTCTTACCTATACAACAAAATATAATTTAATTTTAACCGGCAGTTATTTTAAACAGATGACTTCGACTTACTGGTTGAGTTTATATTATACGATTCAGGTGATCACAATTATAATCTAGAATGATTCTTTGGATGTTGATAATTTTGACCAGTGCTACTTATTCCTCTGAATATGGTAAGTGTTCAACAAATACTTGACACAAATTCCAAAATGTGCTAGATCTATGAGGTTTTTAGGTTCAATTTCTGAAAGACGAGATTCCATTGTTTGCGCGATTTGGACTAACTATTATAACACTTAAGGACAGATGATACAAATAAACTTTTTTCTCAATAACCATGAAAATACCTAGTTAACCTTGTTTATATTAGAAAAAACGAATGATTCCAACCGAGTAGATTTTATTTTTTTTATTCAAATTTCCACAATAATGACCTATAAAGTGATAAAAAAAAATTATATAAGTTTAGAAGGGTGACAGTAAACAAGTAGTATTTTGAACGTTATAATTTCCTAATATTTGAGAATGGTTCCATCCAAAAAAAAAAAAAAAGAATGTTATATATGGACAAGTATCAGTACACGAAGATTCATAGATCCATTGTGCAATGGTTACAAGACTTTTAAAAAGTGAAATAATATGGGAAAGATTTCTTTCAAAATGCTTCTATTTAAAGATTTGGCTTTTTTTAATATAAATGTAAAATTTGTGCGTTAAGAATCTGTATGTTAAGAAACATTGGAAAACATCATTTTGTATATTGAAAAAGGTGTTTTTGTTCATGTGTCTCCCCCCCCCCCCAAACTCAAATGAAGCTCCCATTTAGAATTAATTATGTGTTTTCCCTGATCTTTTTGTCTTGATTAATTGCAACTGATGTTTGAAGTATCTATTAGGCACAAAAAATGCAAAGGTCATCTGCCTTATTGACGAGATAGGTGCCCCATCGCAGTTTAATAGCTCAAGGTTTTGTGTTGAAATAATACATGTATTCATAAATCAGCGGATAAAAGGGAAATATTCTTTTTAAGAACACTTGCATTAATAATTAAACAATCTTCTCTAAACTCAAACTTAAAATTTCGTTCAAACTTTAAAAGTCAATATATATAAAGAGGACATTTCCAGAAACTATTGAACCGACTTTCCTGAATGTTTGTTACTACTAACAAAAATGATGCGCAAGAGAAACAATGTTTTTCAAGCAAAAATTTTGTTTAAGAATCCAAATATTTCATTAGTGTCTGTGTTGCCTTTTTAGTCCCCTAGCGGTGAAACCGGAGGGGACTTTAGGTTTCCTCTGAGTCCGTCCGTCCGTCTCTCTGTCTGTCCCTCTGTCTATAGCTATCTGTCAGTCTGTCCCACTTGGTTTTCCGCAATTTTTTTCTAAACGCTTGCAGAGATTGAGCTAATTTTTGGTATGTGAGTGTATTTTGATGAGTTACAGATCAAGTTTGCATTTCGTTCTGCTTCAATGATTTTTATGGGAATTACGACCTTTTCAGTTTTTCAGGGTTTTCTGGACTTCTTTCTAAACGCTTACAAATATTGAGCTGATTTTTGGTATGTGACTTTTCCTTGATGAGTTATAGATCAAGATTGCATTTCTTTCCACTTCATTGATTTTTGACCGAAATATGGCATTTTCAATTTTTAACGGGAACCAGATTACACTTGCCGGTAGGGGACTAGTATTGCTACTGCAATACTCCCAGAATGCTTGTTAAAACAGAGTTTGCATCGTGTAATCTGTCTAAAATCTGCGTTCCCTCGGGGTCAGCTCTGGGTCCGCTTGAGCGAACCCGGCGTTCGCTTTCCGGGTTCGCTTTACGCACTCATGCGTGAAGCGGACCCCGCTTTAATCTTGCCGCCAGTAAGCCCCGCCCCTTGTATATTCCAAATACAGTAGTGAAATTAAACGGAAAACTTATTTTAAAAAAACAACAACAATCAATAAACCAAAACAAACAAACAAACAAAAAAAACTAATAACTGGCCCACTGATAACAATATATTATTTTTTTTAAGTTGTTTTCAAATACATGTAAATGATCACTTGTATAGTTTGTGTTCCTTACTGGTTCATGATCCCCCCCCTCCTGCCCCACTACATACATGTATATACTGGAGCGGCATGTTAACAAACAAAATTCTAAATGTTTAAAAATAAATAAAAACAAGAAAGAAAACAAACAAAACAAGAATTCAATAAAACTCGCAAGATTAAATAGATGAAGTAAAGATTTTTTTTTTTTTGTTTGTTTGTTTTGGGTTTTTTTTTTTAATTTCGATGAGCCCTCCACCCCTCTCCGTACTCGAATTGTTTTCTATGGGCCGGTTGTAGAGATTTTAATTTCAAATAATATTCAGTGTTCTCTCTCTCTCTCTCTCTCTCTCTCTCTCTCTCTCTCTCGTAAAGCTATTTTACTGATTTTCAGCATTCAGGTGGCAGCAAATTACATGAACATGTACTCTTCATGCAACGTACCAAAGAAATATGACGTTTCCAAATTCAAAAATCAAAAAAAAAAGAAGAAGAAAAATTGAATTTCTCATTGATAACGTGCCCAGACGAGGAACATGTAACTTAAGGCGCATCGAATGTAGGGGGAGTATATACTCAGGTATACCGTGACCATGGGAACAGTATACATCCAGCTAGCAAGTGTGAATTAAAAAACCCCCACTGGAATTGCTCTTAGCACCCGCAATATCTTTGAAACAGGTGGATGATTACCGACACGTGATGACCTTGGCTTCACTTTGAAGCTATAATTATTAAACTGTTAAAATTAAATAATTGTGACAATTACAAAGTCCAAATACAGGTACCTATATAATGAAAAAAATATATGTACGTTTTCGTATTAAGGTATCTTTGCAGGTTCAATTTACTAATGTTGGAATTACGTGTACTTTACATGCACAAGTACAAAACGTACCCGTCTGGTATTTTTTTATTTCCATATAAAGTATTTCGAAAATTACATGAAATACATGTAAGAGGTTCGTGAACATATAATGCACATTTATACTGTACAATGTAAATTTAATTCTTTTTCATGATCAATTATTAAGATCGATAATTTCAATGTTGATCTGGATAAATTAAAACGTGCATGTAGGTTGAATAAATGAATAAAAAATAATTAAATTAAAGCACGTTACTGTATCTTGAGATAAAAATTCTATAATTTATCGGAGACCAGTTTTTTTTTTTTTTTTTTTTTTTTTTTTTTTTTTTTTTTTAGTAACAATTGTTATAACCATTATTATCTTCTTTTTTTCTATTATGAATTAAAGTACTTATTGTCTGATAAATTTACGCAATGTATATTTATAATTATATTAATGGATTTTAAAAATATTAAGAAAAAAAATATGTAACTTTACATGTAACATGCTACCTGGATGATAAAAATATATAATGTATTCATAGATTTTAAAAATAAAAAATAATGAAAATAGATGTGTAAATATTGCATGTTGTCTGGAGAATTAAAATATATAAATGTAAAATCATGTTTAAAAATCATATTAATAATATTTTACACTGTACATTCACTCGCTGTGCTTGTACAATGTTTAGATTACAAACTGGCATGTTGACTGGTCGATGCGCTGATGGTCAACGCATTTTATCACTTATCCTGATGTACATAGCATACCGATTGTGCATAAAAAGGTGCAATGAACTTAAAGTCTTATTTATAGACATTAGGGCATATCTTATTTTGATGTATTTGCTATGTTTTCTCCAAAAAGGTATCAGAAATATTCAAGTTGTACAATATAGGTCTACCTCCTGTCGAATGGGCTAAAATATACACTGCATCTGAAATGTCTGGCACTCGACCTCGCGCTCGTCTCTTACATCTATTAAATCTTATGCTACATACTGTATGATTTCAATTCTTGCACGAAAATATCCTCATTTATCTTTATACACCCTCCAATATTTCTGCAGAAGTGTTTACATTTTTAATGCTATATGAACGGTAATTTTAAAACCGAAAACAAACGACTAAATCCGGCTCCCGTTTCACCACGAGTAGGTCCCTACTTTAAAATAAAATTAACTGACTCAAATGCAAACGAGTGATATAAAACCAGCAGTCGTTAACTGAATTGACGCTTGATTACATGCAAAAAATAAAAAACCTATAGTCCCCTTCAGTTTCACCGGTAGGGACTAATAAATGACAGTCCTAAGCTGAATTAACGCTAGATGGCGAGATAGTCTGTTTATCATAAACACATGTAAATGTAAAGATACAGATTGTAAATTAATGTACTCTCGCAACTTCTTTATTTTATGTATCTTGTGTAAAATATAAAAGAAAACTATATCAATGAACCGCATTTAATTCGAAGACTTGCAATTAATAAACTCGTAAAATGTATTAAAAATTCATTATATGTACATCTACGTTGCGTTATGATAATGCCCACAAGGTCGAATTATGATTTATAGGAATATATCATGCTCGCGGTATAATGCTTTATGAAGCTGTGGGAATGATATTTTAATAAAATGTTAATTCTAATTTTCTTTATAGTTTCTTCATATAGAACATACTGTTCATGTGCTAAAAAAACAAGCATTCTGAGAGTATTGCATTAGTAATACTAGTCCCCTACCGGCAAGTGTAGTCTGGTTCCCGTTAAAAATTGAAAATGCCATAATTTCGTCAAAAATCAATGAAGCGGAACGAAATGCAAACTTGATCTGTAACTCATCAAGATACACTCACATGCCAAAAATCAGCTCAATATCTGCAAGCATTTAGGAAAAAAGTGCGGAAAACCAAGTGGGACAGACTGACAGGCTGAGGGACAGAGACAAACAGAGGGACAGACAGACAGAGGGACAGATTCAGTGGAATCCTATAGTCCCCTCCGGTTTCACCGGTAGGGGACTAATAAATGATCCAGAAACATCCATTGGATAAGCTTGCTTATACATTAACTTAAGGAGGATGAGTTGGGTTTAAACTAAAAGCCCTCATGGCTTATCTTACAAGAAAAGAACCGTGGCTTATCCTTACAGTAACTTCCAAATCAACAAAATTCAACTGTTCCTTAAGCCGTTTGCAAAAAAAAAATGTTGACCGTGGAAAAGGGGGTCTAGGGGGGATTCGGAACGAAATTATCCGATTTATTATTTTAAACAAGCATTCTGGGAGTATTGCATTAGCAATACTAGTCCCCTACCGGTAAGAGTAATCTGGTTCCAGATAAAAGTTGAAAATGCCATAATTCC